GGGAGGGGTGCTGCGAGGAGGTGATGGACAGAGAGGGTGGTGGCGGCAGCTGCTGTTCCTGGGTTAGACCAGGGCCTGGGCCCTTCCTGCCCAGTCCGTATTCTAGCTTTCCCTTCCTCAGCCTGAGAAGCCTGCATGTCTGATGCTACTGTCTGCACTGTCTGCAGAGCTTCAGTATGGAAGCATGTGAAGTCTTTATCTCAAGTTATTTTTAATCAAGGGGCAGAAAAGTATGGGAATTATGATAGTAGCATTACATTCCGTCTCTCATTCCTTTTTAAAAAAATGCAGACTCATAGAAGCTTCGTCACTATAGTATGTTAATTTCTTCCCTTCCCTCACAATCGCTATGGGCCCACACTGCTGGGCTAGGATGCTGTTTGTCACGGGCTAACAATTATCAGTAAAATGAAAACAGTATGAAAAGGATGGCCATGTTCTTTGGGGGCAAAACTTAAAAGGTGGTTCTTCACAAAAGGCGGCATAAGCGGTTACTAGGGTCCTAATAATATCCCGTCTGCAGCCACACCGGCATCGGGAAGCTGGGGAAGAGCTGGGTGGGAAGCTGTCTCCACAGAGCAGATGCCAGCGCCAGAGAAAAGGCAAGCTGGGACACTCTGTGAGGACCGATGAGCCCTTTCCAGCACCGATGGCAGGTGTACGCTGGAACAGCGAGTACACACATGCACACACACAAACACACACACAAGGCACACACACATACACACAGCATGTACACACACAGCATGCACACACACACACACAGAGCACATACACAGAGCACACGCACGCACATGCACACACAGAGCACACACACATACACACACACACACACACACACACACACGACAGTGCTGGGCACAGTTTGGCCTTCAGGCTTCATTTCCAAAATGCCATTCTTTCTTCTCCCCCCACCACGCTTGCCAACCTTGCTCCTCTCCGACGGCTCACTTCCCAAAGTCAGAAGGGTTTTTCCTCTGCCAGAGCAAAGACCCTAGAAAATTCAGGTCTGGCTCCCTGTAGGGCGGGGTTTCACTCAGCACTGGGGCCAGAGAATTCTTTCTTGTGCATGATGGGATGCTTAGAGCATCCGTGGCCTCCATCCATTACGAGCTATCAGTACCCCATGGGTGACACCAAAAGTGTCTCCAGAAGCTGCCCACCGTCCCTGGGAGGGGGCGGGGCACCAGAGGGACGGGTACATTAACATTGTCCTTGGCCGAGAACCACTGCTTTAGGGGCAGGACCCAGGCCCTGCTCAGGGCAATTCTACAGAGAAGGGGCCCTCAGGTGGGAGGGTGCCTGCCATCCGTTCTTATTCACACATATTCTTAGACCACTGACCTCTGACCCTGGCCTCGTTCTCTGCCTATGACCCTCCCTCTGCTGACTACACAGCACCCAATGCACGACCTCGTCCCCCTCAGCCAGTGTTAGGGAGGTGTTAGGCCGAGCGTGGGTGCCGGCCGCTGGGAGCCCAGCTCAGGGGCGGCCAGTGGAGACGCAGTTCACAGGCCTGGGCGCCCATGCTCCGGGCACGGAGGGAGGGGGAAGGAGGGAAAGGTGACCACACCGGCAGGCGAAGTGGTCACCGATTACCAAGCGCAGAGCAGGGCTTCCGTGTGGACCTCACACCAACGTCAACTGCCTTCAGCAAAGTCCTAACTAAACAAAACGTGCCGACCCCCGGCCCGGGCAGGTTTCTGGTTTCTGGGAGGGACCTCGCAAGGGCTTCCCACCAGCCGGGCCAAGTCTGTTCACTGGACTCTGGGGACCACGCCAGGCAGGCAGTTTGCTCCTCCACATGAGAGCACAGACCCAACCTGGGTGACTTTTAAAAAAGGAGGGGTGCCAGCCAATAGCAATGGTGGGAACGGAAATAGATGGTCAGGTCATCAACCCCCATGAAGGACATCGAGACCCCAGAGTGCTTAAAGGTGGGTCCCGAGAGGCTCTGCGGGGCTCCCTGTCTGTGCCTGGGTGTGCATTTGCTTTTTAAGTGGGACAGGGATTCTCGTGCAGTGAATGGCCATATAGGCTTGGGAAGCCACATACTCCTCTCAGCTCCAGAGCCTGCACAGACACCCACGGAGGAGCTGAGGGGGGACAGGCGCCCTGCTCCTCCCACCTGCGCGCCTGTGGCTCCGGGCTTCAGACTGGGTGTGCATTGCTCTCTCAGCGTCTCCAGGAGGGAGCTCTGGCCTCCAGGAGGAAGTGCTGGCTGGGCCGAGGGAGGGGTGACAGGGAACTCAAGGGCAGCCTGCCTCCTAACAGGGGGAACGCCCTGGTTACAGAAGACGAGAGGTGGCAATGGAATACTTCCTTTCAGAGAAACCAGAAATCAACTATGACCTGTGGAGTTCACCAATATTTTTCTGTCGAATTTGTACATTTTCTCCTAATGAAACTCTGACCTGGGAGCAGGTTTCAGTTATTGCATGTGACGGGGAGAAAAACAACAGATGGCTGAGGGCTGCTGCTTCTTTAAAGTTCAGGCTTTCTGTCACTGTCGCTGATTTAGCTGTTGAAGCTGTGGAAGCTAATGTGGCTGCCATGTACCGAGCAGTGCAGGAGAGGAGAGTGGACGTGAACTTGGCTGCCCGTTTGGCAAGGCTCAGTTTGGACAATTTGTAGGACCTGATCCAAGTCCGGGGCACAGCCTGGACTTTACTCAATGGGACGCAGGACCATTCAGCTCTACCCTTCAACGTGTCTGGAGAAAGGAGCCAGTGTTACATCCAGGGTGTACTTTCTGGGCAAGAGAAACAGATGCACAGCGACTTGCTAAGACACAGCGAGCCGGTAAGATCACACCATTAAGGCCCAGGTTCTCCATTGTTGTGTTAGTGGCCATTTTTGTCCACTGCTCTGGGAATTCATGACCACGAGAGCACTGTGGTCAGAGGGGCCAGCAGCCGACACAGGAGCCACAGCGCTCACCCGGGAGATTGCCTGTGCAGCCGTGACTGACCGAGGGGCCGGGAGCAGAGCGCGGAGCCGGAACAGGCCCTGTCACAGGCACCTTCCATGTGGGCAGAACACGGCACTTGTTTCTAAAGGGTCCCTTCAATGCTGGGTCCGCCGCGTGAACTGACAGCAGCGGAGAAAGAGCAGCAGGATTTGGGGGTTGAGGGTTGGAGTGAAGAGTGGGGGCTGGGAACCAAGCACCTCTCCGCTGAGACTGACAGTGGGGAGGGCTCAGGGAACGGGAGGCCAGGTCTTAACAAAAGAAAAGGCCGAAGCCAAAGACAGGCTAGCACAAAGGGAGCCCCTCAATGAGAGAAGTAGAGCCGTACAGCAGGCGCGCTCCACTGCCCTGAATGCGGGCCTGCTGGTTCCCTCGGGGCCCCGTCCCAAGGAGCTACCAAAGCCGTGTCTACAGGACGGACAGATGGACCGCTGCAGGGCGCCCTGAATGGGTATGGGCTCCCGACGCGGGACCGAGAACGGGTGACAAAACTGACGACACCGGCAGGGCAGCTCCCAGGGGCTGTGGAAACACGGGGACACGAGTGCAGCCTGCAAGGGGCACCTTGGACGAGAGGACAGAGGTCATAAGGCGGTGGCCTGGTTCGGAGGATGACGGCTGCTCTGGAAAAGGGAGCTGGGAAGGAGCACCTCAGTCAGTCACCCAGGAAGGGGAGGAATCAGCCACGACACCCACAAAGCGAGCTCCCTGAGCACAGGAACGGGGAGAAGCTGAACAGAACTCCCCAGACAAGGACTGCAATGCAGCTGGGCGGAGGTGAGCTCCGAGTGACACAGCACCGCTGGATGGATTTCCCCAAGACCCTAAGTGAAGGCACTGCTGCTTCTATAAACCACATTGGACACGTCCTCACCAGCAGCTGACAGTTCTCTGCTCCACGGAAGACGGAGGAAAAGGTTTGGATGAGCCTCCCTTTCACTGAAGACTGACTTTTTCTGATCCACCTCACGGACTTGGGTGAGAACCGAAGTGTCCGCAGAAAGCCACCGCACGGGATGCGCCACGGCTGGGCGGGAAAGAGCATTCGCATAAAGGGTGCAGAGTGGAATATTCCGGGATTTTAAGAAGTCCAGTGCTAAAACTGTTTACGTGGGCACATGGCTCCGAGACCTTGCAGTCTCATCAGACAACAAAATGAAATAGAAAGTCACCTTCAAAGAGTTTTTCTCACAGGGGGAATTACGTGTTTCTGTGCAGCAGCAAAGACCTTGCCTAAGGAAATCCCGCGTGTCTGCTGGATACGGCACCCAGACCCTCCTACCCTGGTGGACAGGGGCCTCTGAGGCTCCCAGATGAGCTGTGTGAGAGCCGCTGGGGTCTGAGAAAGGGGTGCATGGCAGGATCCCCCCTCAGCAACAGAATGGGAGACTGTGAATCTCACTTTGAACAGGAGCTTCAAACGGTGCAGAGAGAAAGCCGTCCCCGCAGCCACGGCGGCTCCACCCTCCACATTTCTCCGAGGGCAGCCAGGTGCCCAGCACCACAAAGGCAGTGGCTGCCTCTGATCTCTCCTCACTACGCAGGCGGCCCGAACGGGCGGCATGATCAGCAGGCAGTCTCGGGCAGGAAGGATGGTGACGCGTTGGGAACATGGCCACACGGGCATGGTAAAGGGGGTGCGTTTTCATTCATGGGGATTAAGATGAAGTTGAGACAAGGAGAAGAGGCACGGCCAGAATACTTACCATTTGACAACCATGGCTGAGCCTACGCCACCAGTGTGTCCTCTAAGACAGGCTGCCATTGTCCCTACCATTCTGCTTACACAGTGATGCTTAAAAAAAGAGTTCTCTTATGGGTAAGCTGCAAGATCTCTGATCTGCTGTTAAATGCTTGGAGGTTAAAGATTGTCTGAGGTCCTTAAGATTCAGCCTAAGAATACAGTCGTTGAGTTCAAAAGTGCAGGAGCAATGACATCCCGATGACTGAAAGGGGACGTGGAGGCCTCGTTGTATACATACCAGAAAGACAACACCATGCAGGACATTTCCATGGGAATGAAGTACCGTACCTGGGGTGATGGTAAGGGTGGTGGTGGTGGTGGTGGTGGTGGTGGTTGTTGTGGGAGGAGGGAGAGTTGTGGGGGGATCTGGATAAAAAAAAAAAAAAGGAAAATCAAACCCACAATGCTGAACACAACAATGACCAGTAATGACAAAACAAAGGCACGAGGACACCGAGATGTTTGTTTGATGATTCCCCTTTAAAACCAAAAGGCTCCTCCAAAGATCTGTGTCTTCCAATGACATCCCGAAGCCCTGGTGGGAAGAGCTAAGAAAAGAATGACGTCAATGAAGATGAGATGTGAAGTAGAAAGGGAGGACAAAAAAAAAAAAACACAACAACAAAGAAACATAGGGCATCCCACTGGATCCAATTTCAAAGATGAGGTTAAACCAGCTCCCCACTTCAGGGTGCGATGGCTGCCATTCACTTGATGCTGTCACAGACGGGAGGGAGGGAGCAGGTGAGCGCTCTGTCTGCCGGCTCCCGTGGCCTCGGTGTGCTCCTGTGTCCTTGCTCTTAGGAACGCTAACCCTGTCATTACCATCAACATAGCCAGCGGCAGGCGAGAATGCTCTGCTCTCTGCACACTTCCACTCGAAGAGAGGATGCTGCCACTAAATATCACATTCCAAGACACAGGAGATTTTCTTTCTTAAAAGTCAGTAACATTTTACAACTTATCGATATGGGTAAGTTAGCTGGCTTTGCTCATGTTAAGAGCTTGACCTAAGTGGACAACAAGGATGAAACCGAAGGAGCGCTTTCCGTCTTGTGAACAAGAGAAGGAAGAGTCAGTGAGGCCTGGCCCTCGGGGCCGGGATCCCAGGGGAGCCTCTGTCAGGTGCTGAGCGCTGTTTATCCGTCTGTCATCTCAAAAATGATTTGGGGGAAAAGGGAAGGGCAGATATGAAGGAGAGAAATTCCAAGCCCAAATGATCAAACCGAATGTGTTAACTGTCAGCAAGACTTTGAACTAAGCCACCGTTCCGCTGTAACAGAGCAGAAGATGACTTGAAGGCTTTTGATTTTAAATTTTATCTAAAGCATGTCATTTTTTTTCCTCCCTGACACATCTGGTGTCCTTTAATCTCCAGTGAGCTCTCAGATGTCTAATTAATACATCAAAACTTTAATTATACTGGTATACTGCACCTTTACTGGGCTTCGTGCAACTTCCTGAAAGTTTACGAAAACATTATCTTGGTTCTTGGTTATAATGCCTGTTTAAAGTGATCCCTACCTCAATAATCTGAGGTTTTAATGTCCCTCACAAACTTCTCTCAGACGTACACATATGTACTCATTTGACAGGGAAGAATCAACAGCAAATCGTTCCGTTTTAAAGGAGATATTATTTATTTAAGTTGAGGACAGAAGCAGTTTGAACTATTGTTGAAGCAGCCTCACATAAGACTAGAAGGAAGCCACTAAAAACAAAAACAAAACAAAATCTCATTCTCCTCCAAGTAGAAATTGTTAAGTTGATGATGTCAAGACTTCCTTTTAAGAAGAATGGGCAGCATGCTCCATCTTGCTCCTGATACACTCTCAGGGGCCACAGGTATGACCTGGCTGCTCACCTGGATGCAATTACTGCCCCCTCTCCCACGTGTCAGTGCAGATACAGATGAGCAAGGCGTGTGGGCCCTGAGCCAGCACTGAAGACTTCCGCTCCCTCCAATGCCCAGCCCTCTGCACTGGAGAGGCACCTGCTGCCCAGCAGTGGGCAGCTAATGTGCTGGTTCAATTCCAGCACGTGTCACCAAATGGCCACATCTGTACCTGGGCTTCCCCTGACACCCTAGGCTGCTATTTCTGTACCTGTCTGTAAACGTATTGGCACAAATATGTGATGTCCACAAGTCAATCAAAGAGGACCTGAAGGTGATTTGAAAAAATGGTTATAAACAAGGACCGGGCCATCCTAATGAGGGCAGAGACTTCAGGTCAACAGTTCTTTTCATTTTGTGGACAATCACACGTTTTCAATTATTTTCATCACTGTCGGGAACACGCTGTCCTTCACATCTGGCTCAAGTGACCTAACTGAATTAGATTCCGCTAACAGGTAAAACCGCAATGCTCCGATCGTGTCCAGCATCAAGAGCAACACAAGCCACTACTTAAAAAATGCGGAGTAGGAGCTAATGAGCTGAGTTTGACACTCGGAAGCAACGGAACAAAAACAAATTGAGCTCAGGCACGAAGCAGCCAGATTCTCGAGGTACAGAAGTTACTTCTAGAGAATTAAACATCGTGAAGGAATGCTAACTCTTAGCTCAGAAAGCACTTTGTAAGTTAATGTAGTAGCACAGAAAATCAGCTTTGAAAAGAAAACCTATTCACCATCCTCTCAGATTGCTAGAATATTTTATTTACAGACTAGCAACACCTGCTAGCCTGCTGTCCAAGGCCTTCAAGGGGCACAGAGGTAGGTGGTACAGTGTAGACCCCACAAGGCCCCTGTCAAGGACAAGGCCCTATCCTGGGGGGGACACGTGTGAATGACATGTGCTAACCCAGTGGCCGGCAAACTCACTAGTCCACAGAGACAAATATCAACAGTACAACGATTGAAATTTCTTTTGAGTGCCAAATTTTTTAAACTTAAACTTCTTCTAATGCCACTTCTTCAAAAAAGACTCGTCCAGGCCGTGGTATTTTGTGGAAGAGCCACACTCAAGGGGCCAAAGAGCCTCATATGGCTCGCTAGCTGCAGTTTGCCGACCACGGTGCTAACCTAACATGCAGGTCTCTATGTTTCTTGGGTTTCCAATAATGCACTCTGGCCCAGTGGAGTTAATTCCAAAAAAGGCAGTCTTATGTTGGAGGGGATTTTTCTAGTGGAAATCAGTGAGAATAAAAGGAACTACAAAGAAAGATATAAATGTCCCTGTGGACTTGGGAGTGAAAGTACCAAGGCTCTGACTTAGTAACCTTGTGAACTTGGACAAGTTATGTGACCTTTCTAAGCCTCATTTTATCATCTGTACGATGGGATGAAGACAATGCTTACCTCTCTCCCTCCTAATATTACTGTGGAGATCAGAGGTGATTATGCATGTAAAACAGCCAGTCACACTATGGTGTGGAGTAGATCCTAGCCATGAGCTAGTACCCCAAATTATCCTCATAGAGCTGTCCACCAAACCCATAAAGTGTTTCTCATCTGGAGGTGTGGGAGCGGCAAGTACAATAAATCAACATTATTTTTCTAGGTATTTGAGTCTTCTGATTCAAGGAAGCATATAATAGGCTGGTGGGAATCTGTCACTGCTTTCTAAAACCTGCACTTTTAAGGAGAGCTGAACCAAAGTCTAAACCTGGGTAACAGCAACGTGGGGGTCACCTGAGGTTCACGCCCTGCCTCACAGAGCAGAGGGGCGAGTTTGGAAGCAAGAGGGAGGCATGCACCTTCCAGTGCTGCCAGTGGCACATCGTGAGTAGTCTGAGGGATGGAGCAGCTCTGTGGATTGTCACCCAAAAGGAGGGCACCCACCTGGGAAAGCCATTCTTCCACTCTGGCCGCCTTAACCACTGGGGGAAGGAATGCCATCGTGTGCAGAGGACAGGTAACGGGGGCAGTGAGCCAGCACCCACTGACCTCAGGGGTCTACTAACGGGGACCAGAAGTGATCCTGGAATTTTGCATTATGCTAAGGACAAAACTCAGGGTTGGGCTATAGATTTTATTCTAATATCCACCTAGATAGGGTGTAAAGCCTCCTTCCATCTCATCAAAAAGAATGCAATTTCTATTTTCTTCACAAGGAAAGTGGCCAGGTTTGGAGACAGTATGCTGTAAATAAGTATGTCATGTGTGCATATGTGTATACTCATATACTCACAGCGGGGTCATTTACACTGCTAACAAGAAGGAAGACATGCACTCACACCCTCAGATATTTATGAGACGCTGGCATTTTCCTGCCTATGGATACTCATTCTGTGTCCTGTCAGTCCGTGGCTGTTTTTCCTGGTATTACCCTAACCAAGACACCGCCTCAGAGCAGAAGTGACCCGGTTTGTAATAGTCAGACCGGACAGGCGGTGCTCCCTCAGCTAAGGGGGGACGGCCACCACACACAGCTGACAGGAAGATGTAAGTGGGGAAAAGGTTTAAAACGCCCGGCACACGGCGGGATGTTCACTAAAATGTGATTAGAGAATGATATTCATTGAAACGTGCTTTAACGATCCTATAAAAAGATATTAAGAGAGCAAACAAATTTTAAAAAAGGTGTCTAAAGCAGTACCTATAGGTTGTTAAGGTAGATACTAAGGACCTTCTGTTTTCCCCCATTTATTTACTACCTAGCAACTTCTTGTAATCTAACAGGTTCCTGCAGAGAGTAGGGTGGTTTGCTCATCAGAGCAGGAGAAAGGCTAGCCCAGGCATCCTAGAAAATACCCAGGGGAATAAATTTCCTAAGCTGAAAAGCATGGACTGCTCAGGTTGGATTCTGCAGTCGTTAGTTCTCACGCCATCTCCCTCCCAGATGCCTGGGGACCCTGCCATCATGGTGGCGGGCCCCTTGTTAGAGAGAAGGGACTGGTGCTGCCCTCCCAGGGAGATGCCAGGGTCTGCCCCAGGCCCTGCATCTTCAAGTTCTTGAAGGAAACAACTGGGCTGTGGGCTTTCCACTCGACCAAAGACCGGGGGAGAGAGTTACAAGCAGCAGCAGCGTGTGCGGAGGCTGAGGGAGGAGAGCTGCATCGCACGTACCATATACATACAGCGTATAGTCCGAGTGCGCCTTCCCCACGACGTTGTAGGCCTCGCAGCGGTACGTCCCGTTGTCGGTCTTGTTGAGGTTATTGATGAACAGGTTGGGCCCTGACAGCACGGCGTGCTGGGGCATCTCATCATCGACTCGCACCCAGGTTACCTTGACAGGCCTGCCGGGAAGAGGGGGGACAGGTGCGTCATCGCCCTCGTTAAACTGCATGCAGGGCGACACAATCAAAGAGGACTTACGGCAGGCAGCGTACGTTCACAGAATTACCAGCTGTGAAGTCTCCAAAACATTTGTTTGGAATATAATTTTCTTTCAACGTGATCAGGTGTTGAAAAACTTTCAACGCGCCGCAAGTGGGAGTCTCATTATTTCCAATTTACCTTCAACAAATCAGGAATTAACCAGCCTCCCTATTTGTCTGCCCCGCGGTCTGGTTCACACCAATTCTGCTAGGACGGAGCTCACCCATTGTTACTCCTCTCATTAACGAGGGGAGCCTGCACCCTGGGCTAGCGATGCAGGCATTAATCTGGTGGTGACTGGCACCACAAGACACCCGCTTAGAAGACACGTGTGATATTGAAATGGATTTCTAGTTTCACAAGAAGGAACGGGCGTCCGTGCCCGAGGAGCACATGCCTCGGGCTCTGCTCTAGGAGGATCACCTTTTCTCACTATGGAAAGATGCGATCGCTTCCTCTGCCCTCCTCCAATCCAGCCGTGCCGCCCGCTGCCCGCGGCCACGTGGTGCTGTGCTTCCTGGCAGAGCCTCTTCTGCAGGCTCTGCCAGGCCCCCTGCCCGGCTCTGCCCTGTGTGCACCCGAAGTTGGAGGCCTCAGGGCATCCCCACCCCGAGGGACTCCTCAGTCCCTGGGGCCAACTCTGCAGGGAGCACGGTGCATGAGTGATTTAAGTACCACATTCGGTCCATCTGGAAGAAGCACATTTCCCAAGATGCACCAGAGCCAGAACTGCCCACACAAATGATCCTTCCACAGCATCTTTGCAACTAGCGTCTTTCGGGCGGCTCCTTCGACCTCCAAGGAAATCGAGGAAATGGCGGCCATGACAGGACTGTTCCTGAATGGGGCTGAAGGGAGAGTGGGGCCCACTCCAGTGCAGGGGAACAACCCTGTCCCAGCGCCACCTCCGGGGGCCACCTCCAGGAGCCACCTCCGGGGGCAGCGATGCGACAAAGGAGCTGCTGGGGGCGGAGACTCAGGCGCCTGTCCAGCAGCATCCCAACCTCCAAAGGAGACCTGAGGTTACCATTTTCTTTAACGACACAAGCGCCTGCTGGCACAGCTGGTACATCATTTAAGAATCAGCATCGCAGGTGCCCCGTGCGGGGCAGCGGCCAGCGGGCCCGCCTGTGCCCAGACTGGGGTCCTGTGCCAGACGGCTGCGACCACCAGCAGGGTGTGTGCTGGGCACGGGCGCAGCTCTAAGGGCAAGTCAAAGGACCCCTTTCATTCCAGGCCAGTGGTCGGCAAACTCATTAGTCCACAAAGCCGAATACCAACAGTACAACAACTGAAATTTCTTTTGAGAGCCAAAGTTTTTAAACTTAAACTTCTTCTAACGCCACTTCTTCAAAACAGACTCGCCCAGGTTGAGATATTTTGTAGAAGAGCCACACTCAAGGGGCCAAAGAGCCGCAGGTGGCTCTGGAGCTGAAGTTTGTGGGCCACGGCTCTATGCCATTTCTGGAGGAAGCGAACAGGCCATGTGCAGGTCAGGTCAGCAGCAGCGATGCCAGCTTGCTCAGATTTGCACCTGTTCCTTCGCGACAGGAACAAACAGCCTCTCTGGCATCCATGTGCCAAGGAAACGGGTCATTTCTGTCCCCGTGGCACATTCATCGAACACAGCACCTTCTTCAGCAGAAGAAACAGACAAACAAAACATAGTTCAGCAAGCCACACGCTGGGAGCGCAGTTAATGTGGCTGAACACAGGTATCCCAAGCGGCAAGCGGCCCGTGAGCACAATCTTCTCTCCTGGGGACTGTTTGGGAGGCGGGCCAGCTGCTAACCAGGGCATCACTCAAGCCGTCTTCAGAAGAGACATCGAGTCTCCCAGCATTCACAGAGGAGAGGCAACTCTGGACACCCGGAGACGAGCAAGATGCCTGCTAAAGGGCAGCGGCCAGGACAGAGAGCAGCCAGGCCGGGCCCTGGGAGAGAGACGAGGCCCTGGAGTGGTGGGGTGGGAAGAGAGCCTCCTGCGGCCAGGCTCGCGGCTCCCGTCCCCACCACGGGCCGTTCCTTAGCTGCTGTGGGAAAGCCCTCTCCACAGCTTCTTGTTCAGATGCTCCCCGTTCCTCACAGGAAGACGGTGACAATGACGCTGGCTGGCAACACTGAGAGGAGAAAACCATGCCGGGGGGGGGGGGGGGGGGGGACAGCAGGGGGAGCTCAAGGCTGTGCTGTTGGGGACGCTGGGAGTTTGAGTGCGGTCCCTGGCACTGCCCCGAGGTGCCCCTTTAGGGTTCCGTGGGTTTTTTCCCCTCAGAAGCAGTTAACACCCATCTTCACTCCGAGGGAGAGAGTCCCCCTCCTCCCCGGCTACACTGCAGTGGGCTTTGCTGCATTAGTGATGACACGTGGTTTCTCTGATTTGCCTTCATTCGTCTAGCAGGGGCAAGCACCTTCTTCACACTTGCAATGAAACTAGAGTGTTGGTTGGTTCTTTTCACACACACATACATAGGGTGTCCCCCCAGAATGGATACACACACTTTGAATAATTATAAGGCAGTGTTTATTAAAATACATTTCATTTTCAAAACCGAGCTATTAGCTGTTAAGGGGTGTATACATTTGGCGGGGGGGGGGGGGGGGGGGGAGGGGGGGATGCTGTATATATCTTGAGGAAAGTTCCTGAATCATTCCTTACTAACTAAAATAATCCCAGTAGTCACTTTTCTTTGTGGGAAAGAGAAGCAAAATCAAAGGTAGGGCAAATTCATTTGCCCCCCGGCTGGCAGCTTAATTTTTGTCTAAAAACTATCCTTCTGGCGGCTTAGACATTAACACAGGGGCAGTAGATATATCATTAGATTGTGGGCACACCAACCATTTATTGGGATTATTTTTTTGTATATGAGAGAAAACAGTTTTAACAATCATGTCCTGATTATAAAATGGAATTAGCTGAGATTTCAATCTTAGCTGGTATTTCATTCTCCCCCCTCCCCCCCCCCCAAGGTCACCATTAAGAACCACAGATACTTATTCCTCTGAATATTCTTTTACTTCCTGAAAAAATATTCCACCTTTACAGCAGGAGAGACTCACAGGCCAATCTCTGCGTGGTGACCTTCGCTGCTGTGACACTCCCCCCATCCCGGCTGACCTTGGCCTTGAGAACTTACTGGGGTTTCCCGCTGACTTCACAGGTTAGTTCAAGCGCATCCCCTTCCCGGGTCAGGCCTTGCAGAGGGTAAGTCATCTGAATGTGCACCCGAGGCTTATCTGTGTGACAACAACACAAAAGACAATGTTTAGAGGATGGTATCGTCAGGCACCATCAGGCGAGCTTTTGCCACCCACCCGGAGTGCCAGCCCCCACTGGCCCCACCCGCCGCCTTCGCTAACTCCCTTCTAATTAGTTAGTAATCCTGGCATTTGCTCAAATTAAATTGACTAATAACGCTAAGGAGTGAACCAGAATAGATAAGAGATTCATAAGCCAACTGCGCCACATCAAATATTTCCTGTGAAATACATTTCGTTACATTGAAGTTTATCTCCAGACTCACTCAAGCTAAAGGAAACTCATTTGCTTTCATGCTGAGGTGAAGCCGCAGATATTTGTGGCGCTCGGAATTGATACATTTTATCATATATCATATGTTACAGTGCGACAATGCGTTGTGACGCTGCATATTAATGAGTTTGCCTCTTCTATGCTTGTTTTCAAACAGGAAAGGCACAATTCCCCATTCTACTCAAATGGTTTTACAGACAGGGAGATGGGAGTCCTGGTGGCTTGTAGTTAAATAGTTAAACTCCGACTTCTGGCAGGTAAACATAAGCACAAAGGAAGGGTTCCCACAGTCTCCTGAGTGCCTGACCTGGGGACGGAAATCAGTGGAGAAACAGCCCGGGTTTTGTGGATGAGAACACTGGTGCGGAGAATGGAGCAGAAATAAGCCTGAAATGCATGTTGGGGTCCGATGAAATGCATGTTGGGGGAAATTTTTTATTTTTTTAAAATATATTTTATTGATTTTGTACAGAGAGGAAGGGAGAGAGATAGAGAGTTAGAAACATCGATGAGAGAGAGTCATTGATCAGCTGCCTCTTGCACACCCCCCACTGGGGATATGCCCGCAACCAAGGTACATGCCCTTGACCGGAATTGAAACCGGGACCCTTCAGTCCCCAAGCCGACGCTCTATCCATTGAGCCAAACCGGTCTTGGCATGGGGAAAATTTCTGATTCAAAATTATGTTTTCCAATAACAATCCAGGTTAACACCAAGTGGGCAGGGAAGTACTTAGGTAGGTGATCTGGCTATTCTTACTTTCACTAGCCACTTACATACTGAGTTTGTATCCTAGTGGTTTGGCTCAGTGGACAGAGCATTGGCCTGCAGACTGGGGTTCCCGGGTTTGATTCTGGTCAAGGGCACATGTCTGGGTTTCCCGCTCAATCCCCAGTAGAGGGCATACAGGAGGCAGCCAATCAATGATTTTCTCTCATCACTGATGTTTCTCTCTCTCCCTCTCTGAAATCAATAAAAATATATTAAAGAAAAACACACACACACAAAACAAGAAACAAAACAAACAGAGTTTGTAAGCGTATGAGAGCTAAGTGAGGGAGGGGCAGGGACTAGGAAGGGGAGAGGACGATCTTGGAGTTAAATACCCAGGCAGATACATTTACAAATAAAACCTAGATGAAACTGGGGTTTTACTTTTTTGTCTGTTCTGAACAAGCTATTAATCCCTAAATCAGTTTCTCATTTAATTCTGTGACTCTGTAAATGTATATTTTTGAAAATGTTCCCAAGAGTAATAAATGTGAGAGGGCAAGACATCAGTTGGCTGAAAGGTCAAAATAATTTCCATTACTCCCCTCTGTCAGGCAATCACAGGCCCAAACAACAGCCCCCTGGCCTTCACAAGCGGTGGCTGCTCATTAGCATTCCTCCTGTGGAACCCGGGAGGACTCCGGGAGTGGGGCTCAGCCTGTCTCAGCCGGACCCCGCTGGCCAGGCTGCACATGAGGCCTTCTCCTGGGTGGCTGCTTTCCTGGTGTACCAGAGGTCTTGCTTCCCATCAGAGATCTCTCTCTCACAGCTGAAAACCACAAGGCACGCGAGGCTTTTGGGAAGCGCCTCTCCCCATCCCCATGCTGACACGGGGAGCGGGCAGAGCTTCCCGAGAAGCTGGGTCACTTTTCAGAGACGGGTTCGCTGGCCTGAGTGCCAGAGGAGGTGCAGGTGGCGGCTCTATTCTCAGACCTGCTGGTGAAAGAGATGCTTAGCAGCAAAATGGCGAGGGTTTCCAGCTGATGACTGTGTAGGAAGGGAATCAGTAAAGAAAGGGCACAGGCCAGCAGGATGACCTTGACCAAGGACCGACTGCTGGAGGGCGCTATGGGCTTTGCCGTAAGCTATTATACATGCCACCATGCCTGTTGGTTTTGGTGATGGGACACACACACAGAGGCTGGCTGGGGAAGTTTATGAAAAACAAACACAACAACAACAGTGACCACACGAGACCCTCTCCCTTGGAGTTCCTTCTCAGAAGCAGCATCAGGGACAGAGTCCGTGGTCGGGAGCCTCTGTCATTCTCACCGTGAACCATTCTGGGTGAGACTAAAGGTAAAGCCCCTAATCGGGCTAAAATGTAATGTTTGCTTAGGGGTTAATCTCTGACTCACGGAAGGGCTAGGTATCCCATGCGCTGCTGACTTCAGCCCAGCAATTTAGGGGAAGCAGAGGTTATGTCCAAGGCTTTCTTTCCCCATGTGTAATTCACAAGCAATCAGAGAGGGTATGTCTTTCAGCATAGCCACTAACGGTTCTACATGCTCAACGTCCACCTTTCGCAATAAAAGCCTAGTATGCAAACTGTTCGACCTGGAGTTTGACCACCAGGAGTTTGACTGCTTGCTATGTCGTGTGCTAACCATCGAGGGGGGGGGGGTTGGCGCGGAACATGGCGGGCATCGGCGATGAGGCGCTGGCAGTGGGCGGCAGTGGAGGTACTGCTGGCCCCAATGGGCCCCAACGAGAGCGGGGCCACAGCGGGGTGTTGGAGCAGGTGAGTGGGCAGTGCCAGGCCAAGGCAGTTGTGAGTGGGGGCCTGACTGATCTGCAGAAGGCAACCAGTGGTGATGCGGGGGCTGGGGCTGTTGCCCGGCTGTGACAGATCTCCTGGCAGGTGGGATGATGTAACAGGTAACAGGGTGGTGCCAGGCCATGGCAGGGTGCAAGGCAGGGCTGTGGGGCTAGGAGGCTGGGGAGTGTGAACTGGGGCTACAAGCTTGGGGGCTTGAGCTGGGATCCCATCCCCACCTGTGCACGAATTCATGCACCAGGCCTCTAGTTAAAAACAAAGAGAGTGCTGAACATCTAATCCCCTCTGCCTTTTCAGTACAACTGAGTTTGTTTTAGGTAAATGTTTCTTTATGTTACTAATGGCTGCTTACCAGTCCTCAATTACTCACATAAATTAGAAAGAACAAGAACAAGCTATACGTTTGCTATATCTGGAACTTATGTTAAAAAATCATATACTATGCCATAGAAAAGGCGCCTTCATTTTTGGTAACTGATTTTCCTCATTTACCCTTTAGGTTTCTGGAGACACACCACCCTGTACTTATGGGTGCAGCTGCCACAGTTACCTCAACAGCCACGTGAGAAGGTAAACATGCATCTTGCTGGTGTCACACAGAAACATGCTTTCCTCTGCGGACACATTCAGGGTCTACATTCAGTGTATGACTGACCGCAGGGCAGCCGGGCTCTCCTCTCGCCCAGAGGGACCAAGCGGAAGGTCCGTGTGCCCAGGTCCCTCCCTGAGTGAAGGCAACTCACAGGCCAGTCCGGGCCCTGTCCCTTCCCCTGGGAGAGGAACTCGCGTCTTCTCCGCAGGAGCCTGGAAGGAAGCCCTGTGGCACGGCCGGCACCTCTCACTCAGGGACGTAAACATTTCTCAGAAGGATCCTGATGGCAGAATCACCGTCACAATACGGAGCAGTCAGGCGGCTGACTCCACAGCCCAGGCTCATCAGTAATATTTTAATTATGTTCATAAATCACGTGTTATGCCCCACCACATCTTTTCTGAAACGGAAGCAGACGCCAAGATGTGTTTTGAAGTACTGAGGTAAGGCCCAGTCCATTTTCTGGTGACCGTTTTCTGTATCGGCTGGCGGTGCGGGCACAGGCTGAAAGCCTGGGGACACTTTCTATCCCAGGGCAGTAACTGTCCAGGCATGTGATGCTCAGAGCAGCTTCCTGTCATTGCAAAATGGAGCTGCTCCAGAAGTAAGAACAACAGTAGGATCCATGCACGTTTGGAGTTTTACAATTATAGAGATGGCCTCACCCAGAGCCAACCGATTAGGTGGAGGAAGCTGAGGTTTTAAAAACACCGGAACTCCCCCCCTTCCCCCATAGAAGACACCTAGCAAGGCTGCCATAGCACCAGCGTCCCTTCATCAGCCAAAGGTGCACGGAGGGCTAAATACCGAGGCCTCAGTCACTCCACAGGAGCAGCCAATTAAAAACCAACACGAGAAAGGTGCTCGGATTTGATGAGCTTCCTTTAAATGCACTTTGCCCTCCATAGAGGGGCCGTGTACACATACAAAAGGAAGCTCTGAGAGAGGCGAGGGTGGCTGCTGGCAGACTGCAGCTGGTGCCACGCCAGCCACACAGCCTATGATCTTCTCAGAAGACCTGCTCTGTGTTTCCCTCTCCTATGCTAACGGTCAGCCTCCTCGCTGGCCAACACCAGCGCATCGGGCCTTTATTTAAAAGGGCGCGTGATGTCACCATCCTCACATCCGGCCAGCAATAAGAGCTGTGGGCAGGGGAGGCCTCCCTCAGCCAGCAGACCAGTCACCCCCAGAACTACAGGCACCCCCTTCTCTCCCTGACATTCTAATTCAAGAATGTGGGTGTCAAATGTCCCAAGGCCGGGGGGTGGAGTGGGGCTGTCCTCATTGTGGTACAGCCTGGCCAGGGGGGGTCCCACTGGGGTATGCCATGGCTGGGGGTGGTCTTACTGAGGTACAGCCTGGCTCGTGCACTCGGGTGGGGTACACTGACTATGAAGAGTCTCTGTCAATCATGGAGGATTACCGCAGCTTGGAGTAGGTGACAATACAAAGTTTCACCTGATATTTGGTGAGTATTAGGGGCTATTTGTGTTGGAAACAAGAATCAGCACCTAAGGTGGTGCCTAGATTGTTGAGAGAGGAGTCTGCCCTGAAGGAAGGCAAC